GAGCTTTCCCTCCAAATCGTGTTCTTCTTCTTGATGTTGTGACACAAATGAAGAGATCTACTCGTTTTTTTTTTTATGGCAGAAGTACACTCAAAGGTTTGGCACTGTCTGCCGAGGTAAGCCGCTGTTTGAAAAAAAAAAACGGTTTTTTCAAATTTCAATTTTTCGAATAACTCGAAAACCGGTTAGGGAAAAATTACCACTAATCGAGCACCCTAATACATACATACATCAATAAAAAAAAATCGGGTGGGTGTATAAAATGTCTTGTTCTACTCTTTATGTAACAAACTTCTAACTAGCCGCTGCTTTCAGGTACTTCCCAAGTAAATGCGGCTTCTGAATTGAGTTCCTTATGATTTTCGCATACAAATACGCTCGCATATGGACATACATATGTCTGTTATTTAAACCTGGACATTAATGTTACTTTACGAACAATTGATTTAATAAATTTTAAAAGCACTTATTTACACACGCATTTACATATGTATATGTATATGCAAATATGTAGACATTAAATTTACTTCGGTTACTTGCAAATAAGTAGTTATATATGTATGTATGTGTATATGTACGTACACCCAGGTAGACGTACAAAAGTACAAACAAATTATGTGAAGAGGCAATTTAATTTTATTGAACGCCGCCAACGCACAGTGGGATATAGTAACCAAATATCCAAAAGAAATTAAAGTGTTAGTAAATCCGTAGTAAGGAAAAAATAAAAAAGGTTTGAAATTGTTTCACGTTTATCGGTGCAGTGAGCCCAAACTCAAGTAAAAAATCAACTATTTTGTTTGTGAAATGTATACCTTCCCATGAAGAGCTTTGACTAATTTACTTATTAGTCATATATTTATATGATAAACCAATGTATGGAACATGTTTTTTACTTGGAAATTATATTTTTATTGACGTACATATTATACACCAAATTTTATAAAATTTTTCAAATATTTATCACAAAACTTACTTACTGAGTAACTTTTTTCGTATCATTCGAATTTCCTTTCAGAGTAAATGATTTTTTTTTATAATGTAATACAATATTTTTCTTATTAACAAAAAAAGAATGGCAAACGAGCCCTTTACTAATAGATACATATGTATGTAGTTATGGATGAATATAAATTTTTTTCTATAAAAAGAAAATATGCTGCAATTATTCATGTGTCTGATTAATTAGGTTATAATTTTCATAATTTATATATTATTATCATTATTTATATATAATAGAAATGCGTCCATATTTTCTAGACGGATTAGGTTCATTTAAGTACTATTTACTTATATTCATCAAAGAGGTTTGTATACGAAATTTCAAAATTGTAGGTCCATTTTTAGTATTTATAGCCAAAATTTGTATGAAACGCTCCCACTGTAAAAGGGCTTATTTAAAAATCAAATAAGTTGGTTAGCGAGATATTGCCCAAAATAAGGATGTAATTGCTGTGCGTGCATAAATTATGGGCAACTTTCTTCTCCTCGCTGAGCTTCTATAAACACTATGCAAAAAAATATGTATGTACATAAGGGTGGTTCAAAAATTTATGTGAAAACATTTTTTGATACTAACGATTTTTTATGTGTCCCCCATTACATTTTTTGTGGTCTATAGGGGTCCTATAAAATATAGTTATTAGTACAAGAAAGCGCTTTGAGCGAATTCTAAATATTTTTTTGATTTCAAAACAAAAAAACAGGGGTATTTATAATATTTTCCTTATAGAACAAATCTAGGGGCTGAGAGCACTAAAATTCCGACTTTACTTTTTTTGGCCCTGTAATCTATATAAACTGGTGGCAAAAATAATAGACTCACTTTATTTTGATCAGTTTGGCTATATTTCTTTGACTTATTTAATTTTTAATACTTGTTTTTTTTTTATAAACGCCTAGGTTGTTATGTGTACAACAAAATCCAAATCCACATTTCAAACAGTACAAAAATTATAAAAAATCAAGAAATGTTCACCAATTTTTATTCAGAATTTTCAAAGATACCGTTGCGTAATTTTTTTTTTTTTTGCTGGCGGTACACCAATTTTTTTCTTACAAAGTATGTTTGAAATTCGTTTTATATGGATAAGAATGAGCAGCACTGTTAAGTAAAAAAATTGCCAAACAATTTTTTAGCCATTAGAAACTTGAACTTTATTTGCACTTACTTAAATTGAATGAGCTATAAAGTTGCATACCAAATAATTTTTTAAAAACTCTGAATAAAAAAATTTAAATTTTGGTGAAAATTTTTTGAATTTTTTTACTAAGTTTGAAATGTGGACTTAAATATGTGGTGTTTGTTATATAACTAGCTATACTTTTATTAAAAAAAAAATTATAAGCATTAAATAAATCATAGAAATATAGCCAAAACTAGTCAAAATAAGGCGAGTCTATTATTTCTGTCACCAGTATATACTTACATATGTATGCAAATTATGTACATATATTATTACTGTTCTTAACATTCCTTTCTGTTTGTAATATTTTTCCTCGCTTTATTTTAATTTACTTTTTTTTATGTTATGTGACTGCTTTATTATTTTCGTTCACTTCTTATTTACTTATCTTATTCTCAGTGTGTAATCTTAGCTTAACCTTAATAACAACGTTTGTGGTTATTGATGTTGTTGTTACATATATAATTAAAGCTAATTTATGCATCTTCATCGTGCGCTTCAATCTGTCTCGTTTGGAATTGGCAAATGCTTTCGTGGGATGGTTTTCATGACGGAAGTGCACTGACCGGAGGGTTTGCTATTATTTATTTGTCGAGGGTTCGCCAATTTCTTTATTATTTTTAATATTGCACAAATCAGGAATCGAACCTGGGTACTACTAGAGGGAAGTAAAATGAAGCATAGCTCTAATGGTTTTTACATAAGAAAAGTTGCAGGATAACTTTCTTGCTCAGAAAACTCGATACAGATACTTACCATATACATTAGGGTGGTTCAAAAACACCTGAAAAATGCTAAACGGTAAACTGTAAAGTCGGAGTTTTAATGCCGCCATCCCCTATGATTGTTCTATACCCCTATTTTTTTATTTTGAAATCAAAAAATATTTAGGATGTGCTGAAAGCGCTCAAAGTTTTCCTTGTATTTTATATGGGATGAAAACGACTTTTCGTAGAAATGGTATAAAATTCTTGAAAATCAATATTTTTCGATCGGAAAACTGTGGTCCTCTTCAAGTGACTTCCAGTATTAATACCCAATTGTTTATTTAACCATTTTTTAAACTTAATGTATACAAAGCTTGAAAAAGCTTTGCCCGCGAGAAGGCCGATGCCCACTGGTTTAGGGGTTGCTCAAATCGATTTTAAATTTTCATCAAATCGCGCACCTAAAATACATCTCAAAAATAACGCCAATTTGCCAAATTTTCGCGTTAAAAAATAATGAATGATTAACCAGGTAAAATGAATTAGTCAACAACTATTATTCCCAATAATAAGAATAACCTTTAGCTAAACTTCAGCAACTGTAATACAACAACAAAAACATTTTCACTCATAATTTTTTAGATTTAAAAACTCCTTTAATTTCAGGGGTTAGTTAGTTAGTTAGTTAATTTTTTTGGGTGTAACAGAACAAGAGACACCGCGACCTAAAAGATCTTTTGCATATCTTCTCTTAAAGAGAGTCCCTAACCCAGTGTGGCCAAGATAACTTCGGCTTCGGTAATGAATCCTAAAAAGGCCTTCGTAGACGAATTCCTTATAACAAAGCGTTCAGCCATTGAAGATTTAAAATAAATCGGTATTTTACTGGCCAAAGCTCCGAAATGCTCCGAAGTTTCATCATCCTCGAGGCAGAGCAAGGAAATTCACTTCACATTTATGGTACCTTGAAACTATTTGCCTTTCTTTATTCGATGATAAATCTCAGTGAAAGAATCTATTGCCAAAATGTTAAAGGTAACCTACGACAGAGTGTATGGGGAGAGCTTTGAAATAAAAAAAAGAAAGGCTTTCAACTGGAGAATTTTCCGACAGTAAATATTTACCAATTTTTTGTTATACTTGGCTTTGATCTTCAACGGAATGTCAGAGAATGGGCAAATAATGATAATTATAAGCAATTGAAGCTATTTACCTAAAGCCGATTTAAGAGTAGTTAATGGCATCGCAGTATCTCTTAACAAGAAACGAAAAACAACAACGAGCTTTATTTTAAACAGTTAGCGAGCATCGAAAAAAGTTGAAAGATGTTAAAAAAATTCCGTTATGTATGAAAATATGGGAATCATTTATGTAATACAATTTTTGTTTTGTTTTTAGTTTCTGATGATTGATTCATTCGTCAAAGCTTGATTACCCTCTATGTTGACCAAAGACATCATACGGGTTTTTTTACCGTTAGAATCGCTAGTCGTACTAACTGCATTATGCAATTTAAGGAAATTCCCCATCATTCTTCACAATAAACACAAATGTTCTATATGCATAGGCATATCATACATAGAGTATTTAATTGCACGAAATTTCTTAGGAAAAACGCATGAACACAAATTAAGTAAGTCTTATACTGATAACGACTTCGCTCAGCTGGCAGATGTAAAATTCCACTTAATTTAGAATAAATTAATTTTTTTTTTTAATAATAGATTAATATTTGAAATTTGATAGCGTTAGTTTTATAAAGGTAACAGCAGTTTTTTTTTTTGTTTTTGTAATAAACGTTTTTAGTCGTAATTTTGATTGTAGACGCGGAATTAATTTACAGAGCTTAAATTCAGCAATACATTTTAGTTGAAAGATCAAATACATATAAAATCAAACATGTGTATATATGTATGTGTGTACATTAGAGTGGTCCTTAAATGTAGCAAGAAATTTTTACATCAGATTTCTTAAGCCTCAACTCCCTCGTCGATGCTACTCTAGTCGAAGATATCACATATAAATTTTGGTCCCGATTGGAGATGGTTAAGGCGTGTCGCCAAGGGGTCGAAGGCCAGCTGCCCTCTAGAAATCATTCATCGCGCCCTCTTTTATGCAATATGTATTCATTTATTTTTCCCATAATTATTACATTTATGAATGAGTATACATCTCAAACATTTATATTTAATTCATTTGAGTACTTAAATTAATTATCTATCCGTCGCCAAAATTCTGTTAGGCACCTTCTCAATTGCATTGAATGCTGTTGAATATCTCCTCAGTAAACCCATTTATATAAGAAGGCCTTGTACAAAATCCAATGGTATTGTTCTGTAATGAAAAGAATCATTATTTTAATTTTTCCTCTTTTTACTACTAACTATTTCGTGCTCATTTAAGTTTATATGCATATTTTAATTTTGCTATACGACGGCCTTGAGATATTGTGTATAGCAATTATTTCTTTAATGCCTTTAACACAATTTGAATTCCTACTTTTATTAAAGTTTAGCTTTCCCCTTCGAAGAACCAACGTATGTACATATGTATTCGGGCTTCCATTGGAGAGCCCGGACTGATAATGAGCATTGGCACCTCTTTCCAAAGTAGCATACTGGCTTTTATGAAATCGCAATTAAGCCCATTGTTAAGCATCTATAGCCTGTACAAAAGGCTGCCCTTATTTAAACCCGTGGGGTTTTTTGAACCACCTCTATTCATATTCCTATCGAAAGCAAGGAATCGCTTGTCCCGAGAGGGTCCATCTCCAACTACATTCCTCCTAGAGTTGATTGGGAGATCGATAGCTTCTGACGTCTGGTGACGTATTGGTCAAAGTTAGATGAAATAGTTACTAGAGGTGTATCCTGCCAGGAACTCCCCTAAAACTTTAAATTTAAATTTCAGATTTCATACAGCACACAGTGGGAAAAAATCAAAAAGTAGGGTTCAAATTGACTGCTGCACTACAATTTTCAACCGATTTCACAATATTCTCTTTTGAAATATGTAATTCATAAATAATTTGGTCAGAGATCCCTCATAGCCGATCTTAGATTTTTTATTTGTTTATATTAAATTTTTTAATGCAAAATGTAGAGAAAATCGATTACCCTGTTCCAGTTAATAAAGGCTACTTAATAAAAACAACTTCAACGTTTTTTTAGGGCTCCCCCAAAACAAAACAAAAATCACAAGAAAAATTTTAAATTTTTATAAAAACAAAATTTCAGCAAACATAAATTTTTTTTTTAGACCCGGCTATAGTGGGAACGAGAATCTGTGGCCTTCTCTCTGTTAGATAGGCCCGAAGTGGACTCAGCGAAATGTTAGCGAATATCGGGACTCGAAAAGTTACATGTTTCTACTGGCCGATATGTTAAGCATGTACGAGTCTTAATTCAAGTCGGAGAGGTCAGTTAAGAAAATTATGGCATCAGTCTTCTGGGATGCCGAAATAGTTATCCTCGTAGAATTCTTGATGCAAAAGAGGACAGTGACAGCAACTAGTTTTTTTTTTGAGTTACTAAAGAAATCGAAAGCTGCAGTCATGAAAAATCGGTCTGGAAAGTTGCATGCGAGCGTGTTGATCCAGCATGATAAGCTTTACTAATTAGTTATCTGCTTTCAATTTTAGCTTGAATTTCAATTTTCGCTACATTGGTTCTTTTTCGTTATCAGGAAGATGATGATTTGCAGAGGTCGATAACATTTTAGTCATTTAATGGCAAAAGCATGTCGATTGACAACAAGACAAGATTTCTACCTAAGCAGATATTTACAAATACAATGCATACTGTGGCGAAAATATGAATAGGGAAGAGACATTTTAGCATTTCTCGGCTATTTCCCTTTCGATTATTCAAAGTTAGTATTATTTTTTCATGAAAGTGTAGCTCGTTATCTAACAATAATAATAAGTCGAAATTTAAAATTAATTTCACAAGGTCTCACCAAAATATTAAGCTTTTTAATTAGATTTCTTAGAAACATTCTGAGAACGCAAGTTTTTAGCCCATTCAATTTTATTAAAAAAAAAATAGTAAAAATTTTTTAAACAAAGAAAAATAGTCAAACCTTGCTAAAATGTTTTTTCCCCTATTTAGATTCTCGCCACCGTATGTATACAAGTGCATTAAGGAACACACTTTGAGCAAGTGAATTCCCTCTCTCAACTGATGATACTGCAAAGAGGTGTGAATCCCATTTGCACAACTTTTACATTTTACTTATCACACTTAACAACGGCGCAGCACATCTCTCTCCCACACTCTCCCTCCTCTCAAGTTTTTATGAACGCCACACGCACTTACCTTGAAGATGACATCAGCGTTATTCTCAAAATCGTCAAAGAAATTCCAATCACTATTGTCTGGACCCAAACTTTGTAACAGAGTCTCGAAGATATTTTCTACGAGCTGTCTATACTTGCGATTGACAGCAAAAGATTTGGAGGCAAAAATGGCGCGTTCCAAACTGGCTTCAATGTTGCATGTGCTGTATTCCTGCCGCTCGGCTACAGTGAGATTGGCGCATATAAATATCTCATCTTCGGTGGGCTCATACTCGGCGGAATCACGAATCTTAATCGTTGCAGTGTCGTTCTCGGACAGCGTGCACACATCCTGGCCACGCTTAAGATTAAAGAATGCAGCAGCACGAGTGGCGCGCTCATTCGTAGTATCCACATCTCTATTGGGGCAAAATATAAATAGAATAAGGTATAAATAAAAATGTAGTTATAGTTTGAAGGTCTACTCACATAGTCGCATCGTACAGCTCCAAAAGCGTAATGATTCTGGGTGCTACCGCTACATAATAACTGGATCGATTTTCATGCGCATACAGCACTGGCGTTAGACCGCCCGCACGAGCCGTCCGGTATTCCTGCCCATCGGACACCACCAAATCAGCTGCACCCGTCTGTACCGCACTCACGCAGGCATCATAGGAATCGCGTTGAACGCATTCTAGATTCAATTGAATGGAACTGTTTGCAGCTACTTCCACTGCATAAAAACACTTGTCTTGAGCTAATTGCGTGGAACTGCATAAGCGCAAGGTTTGCAGTTGTGGCTGTGGTTGCGGTTGCGGTTGCGGCCGTGGTGGTATTGGGGGCAGTGGTCGATATGGTGGACGTCCAAGGGAACCGGGTCGACCAAAGAAAAGGGACCGCCGAATCCACCAGATCCTCCGAATCCACCAGGTCCACCGAATCCACCAGGACCACCGAGCCCAACTGGACGGTAAGCCTCTGTGACTGTTAGAAGCAAAAGTATAACTGTAACATTAACTATTTTCAACATTTTGACATTTCTATACCCCAAGGTTGATGAGCTATTTATATTTACTACCTTCGATATTAAACAACAAAGCAAAACATTCTCAGTAGTAATTACTTTTTAATTACTTGCAAGACTCCTTATCAGAGCTTCTCGACTGTCAAAACAAGGTAAGTACAATGCATGGAAAGTTTTTATAACCAATAGACATTTCATTATCAGGATCAGCTTCCACACACAGACTTGTTATACAAAGAGCTTTTATTTTACACGTTTCGTCAAGAAATGGCCAAAGGTCGAAGCAGAATTCTAAAAGAGTTTACACGAAACTTATAGAGATCCCTTGCGGATCCAAGCGGATATTTTTATTTACTTTTCCAAAACCTATCTTTCAATGTCCCTTAATCATTCTGATATTTTTATGAATCCATTCTTCAAATTAGATCATTCATAGAGTACCTGGACTTTCGAAATGCAGAAATTTCGCATAAGGCCTACGCAGTGGTTTCGTATTCGCAGGACGCACCGTATTAAAGTTTATTTTTATCATAGCAAGTCTGATTTCCAACCTTCTCTTCATAACAGTCGGAAGAGGACCAATCTGCAGATGATATGGGTCGGAAAGCAGCTCGCTGCCAACCACCCTCCAATGAAAGAGTTGGTCCTCTTGTACAAACCCAGATGCGGAGGAGGAGGAAAAATCGGAAGGAGAAACGCAATAAGGTGAAACGCTCTTGTATGGCCGGCCGAACTTCTCCTGTCGCTACATCCAGTAAACGGCCTAGGTCTACGGAGGTTACTCCAGAAACCAGTGATGCAACGACACCCAAATTTGCTGACGAACGCAGCAAGAGAAGAAAATCTGTGGCGACACACACTTATACCTGGCCCGA